AGGAAGCCATCAGCCAAATATGAAGATTCTATACCTTTTAGTTCTTTAAAAGAAGTCGTTTGAAGTTTTTGACATATTTGACCCCTGTGACCTTGAAAACAGGTCAAGGTCATTTTCGTTCTCAAACTTTGTAGGGCTCCTACCAACGAAGCTTTCAGCCAAATATCATGACTCTAGGCCTGTCCGTTCTTCAGAACAAGTTGTTTAAAGGAAAAGTTGACGGACGGACGGACGGACGGACGGACGACGGACGCCGCGCGACGGCATAAGCTCACTTGGCACTTCGTGCCAGGTGAGCTAATAATTGTTAAGTTTCCCTTTGGGGCCCCACCCTGGCCACTGGGGTGGGAGCAGGAATCCCAATATTACAATTGGTTACCAACTCTCTTCAATCAAGGATTATTCTGACCAAGTTTGAAAATCCACCCATTAGGAGAAGTTAGAAATGTAAGACGTTTACAGACGACAGACGCTGCATGACTCGAGTGACCTTAAAAAATAAAATCTATATTTTAGAGTCGTGATGAAAAGAATCATCTTGCAACTACAAATGAAATGCGTTGAATACAATTTATTAAGTGGTCACATCTTTGATTAGACTTTGTCCAACTCAATATCAACACTGAAAGATTGTAATGCCTTTTGTCATAAGATCGCCATATTAGATAAATGTAAAATTAAATAAAGTCAAGACAAACAAATTATACTTTAAAGAAGAGAACTATAATACAAATATCTTTTTGCACTTACCAAGAGAAAGCATGACATTCTTGGGGTTCTGGGTTGTTTGGTAGGCCCCCACCCCCATCAACCCTCCACAGATGATGCCTGCTGCCAAGGACGGAATGCTACCTGGGTACCATACAAAAATATAATGAAGTCAGCTTCACAATTACACTATTCCGGTTCAGACAACATAAAAACGATCGAAAACAGCTTGATCGGTCATTATGATACATCGGTTATTATGATATTATTCTCTGGCAAATAGGATATCATAATAACGCGTTCCACTGTACTATAAATTTTGACAAAATGTTACAAGTGGCTTAATTGAGTTAATTCAAATAGTTCTATCTTCTATGATTTTTTATCAGTATGTTTATTAATTTTTATTTAAAGTAAAATACAGAGAATTGATTTACTTGTATCATAATGGTAAGAAAACTGTACCAAACAAGAGGCCCAGGGGCCTTAATAGCTCACCTGGTATTTAATTTTCAATTTAAAACCTGCTATTAGTACATCATACAGGTTTATCTTAGGAGTACAAGAAGTACAAGTTGCAAGATGAACTACATGTAATTTATATGTTTGGATGGGTATACGTAAAGACACCAAGAACATGAGTTTCCAAAAATATGTTATGTTCCATGGAGGTATATAGTCTCGAGGGGGTTGGTCAGGCCAATCCTGGTGGCATGTTTTCGATTCTACATGCCTAAAAACTGTATATTTGGTTAGATTGTAGGGTCATAAAACCCATAAATCAAGATGGAAGGTGAAGGATTTTATTGATTAGGCCACACCCAAAGGATTTTGCCCTAGACAATTTTTTTTTCAATAGTAGTTCTAGACTTATGGTATAACGTCAACAACGGTTAGTTGGATACCACCAAGCAATGAAGTGTAAGAGTTATCTCTCTTTAACAAGGTTATTCACCTCTACTTTTGTTTTGTGGGATTTTTTTACAATTAGCTAAACATTAAATTAAGTTTGAGAAGTAAATTGTAAATTAAAGTATAAATATGTATCCATAGATATATATTTGCGCATTTTACGTGAATTGCAAATGTTTAAATTTGGATGGAATATTGCGCCGGCATGGTCAAGATGGATGTGGCATACAATGTGTGTTATCACTTTCTGTTTGCACTGTTCAATGTTTTGATGCATTTCAAAGTGACAAGAAGTATATCACCTGCTCTAGTGTAGCCCAGAACACCTCCGGCAGCTACTGTCACTGCATACGCAATACTGACATAATCGATAGGCATCTTTGTGGTTTATCAGGAAAATCTTCTCTGCGTGTCAACTCGAGAATCTCAAAGTTCTCTGAACAGGAACCGATTGGTAGAAGGGCGACAACTCTGTCATTTCCAAGATGGACGCCCCCAAGGATGGCAAGACCGGTGGGTTTCCAGTGAAAACGACACAGGTATGTCACTCATGATCAGTGTCTTTTAATAAACATTGACGAAATCGCATCATGTATGGTATTTTAGCATACATGATTTTCGTTATTGTTGATACGCTGCACATAATACACGAAAGAGGGTGATGCAGAATATATAGATAGATAGATATATATATGAAGTCTGCCTTACACTGCGCGCCGAGGAATTCGTTTTAGTTAGTATGGTGGTTAACCGTGATCAGGTAGTGGAATCCTTGAATCTCAAACAAATGAAGTCCGACTTTCTGCCAAGGCATGTCTTCATCATCATGTTGTAATAACAGTTTGCCACAGTTCTTGGGTTTTGCATATATAGTCAAGATAGGGCAGTGCACCCGATGCCGATGGTATATCCCTTTGGTTGTTGGACATGGGCCATTCCTCTAAGACGAATCGTACAATGTACTGCATATTTGCTTCACCTGTAGTCGCCTCACGAATCTCACCAAGTCTCACATTAGGAGTGTCACCGAAGATGTTTACTGACATTATATATTCTTGCCCGCTTCTCCAATCGAACTTCATCTTCCAGGTCACAGACTTGACCGAGTGTGTCCGCCAAAACTAATTATGTGCATTAAGCTTTCACAAACACAAAATCAAAGTCATATCTCATCATGCTCACCATGATGTCTAGCTGCGATAACGTAGCTCTGGACGACGGACAGACGATTTCTGATAGATGGTCGTCTGCCAGAGCGGACAGAAGGCAGGGTATGAATATTCCTTCTACATGATGTCTTGCAATTGCAGGCCTTTTGGCGCCATGCTCAAGCCAGTCAAAGGCTTTCTCAGGATAGCAGAAAGTGGTTTGTGGTCATTCTCCGCTTTCACTTTATGACCATATGTGTACTGGTCAAGCCACTCTAGTCCATAGAGTACTGATAGAGATTCCTTCTATATTTACGCCCAGTTTCTTTCAGAGTTTGTCACCGCTCGAAATGCATATTCATCAGGTCATCCATCTTGTAGCAAAACTGCCTCCGGCCATCTTTACTACTGTCTGTCTGAATGACCACTTCCTTTTCACAGTCAAAATAGGCCAAACAAGTAGAGTTGCTTATCTTGTGCTTATAAGAGCGTCAGATGTGTCTGCACATTCAATTAACCACACAAATGATACATCTTTTGGTGTTAGCAAGCAAATCGGTTATAGAAGGCCGGCTAAGTATAGGATGAATCTGGATATAGAAACTAAGCCAATTTGCCACATAGACATAACGTTTGATACCAGCATCATCTTTTGGGGCTGGCATTTCTCGAATAGCTTGTTCCTTTGCACTGTCTACTTTTACACCTTCTTTTGTGACTCGATGACCATGAAATATTATCTTGCTGAGACCAGTTTCTTGCTTTCCCTCATTTAACACAATGGATTTCTCTGCACACTTTTCCAGTACCTTCTGAGTTTGAGCTGATTGTCCCAAAGCTTTGGTGAGTTTATGTTGGAATATTCCGCTTGAAACTTTCCATCCGAACAGTAGTCGCTTCCACCGATAGCGACCAATAGGAGTTACCATGGTTGTCAGTTTACTTGATTCCTCATCTGTGAAGGCACACATGCTGGTATACCTACTTCACATCAAGTTTACTGAAAACCTTGGCATCTTACAGCTTAGGTAGGACGTCATCAAGAACAGGTAGGCGGTAATACTCACGCGTCAAAGCTGTATTTAATGGCTGAGAATCAATTCATATCCTAAACGTAACTGGACAAAGACCACCTTTATCAACCAGTCTAGAAAGTTAAGTTTTCACAGAATCCTATATTGCGATTGGGACTTTGTGGCAAGGTAGGACCATAGGGGCCAAATTATTATCAACTTGCAGAGTTGCCTCCCTTAGGTCACCAAGTTCATCAGATGCTTCATTGCCTTTTGAAACAAAACAATCCCTGTTGATTGTCACAAAACTAAGGTCTTGTATGGTATGTAGTCCAAGGTGATTTGTTAATCCATTTGGTACCAGGACAAAAACTTTTGACATTTCTCCAATGCTGGGGTTGATCACATCTAGCACGCATGCTAAAGTCATAACATTATTGCTGTCGTCAGATGGTGAAGCTACCCCAGAGCTAGTGTAAAATTCTACCTCAAAAAGACAATGACATGTCATAACTTGGACATGGTAACTAAATGTATAGCATGACCTCAACTGTAACTCATTCACCCCTGAAGACACATTTGAACCCTTCCAATTCAAAGGTTGGAATAGTTCATTTTGAAATTTCAGGGGTGAATGAGTTAAAGCCAAATTCAAAGAAAATCTTTTGTGTAAAATTCATATAGCACAACCAGTGAGATATTTTCACTGACCCTTTATACAATCCATACTTACCAACCTGGAGAAAATATTCAAAAAAAATATCAAAATTTTGTTGAAAGTTTTTATGCAAACACTTATCCATGCTACTCCTATATCTTCAACTTTCTTGTACATTTATTTAAGTGACCATGCAGTTTTATTTTGTTTGCGTATGTTACATCGGACCACCTTTTCATTTTATAGAAAACTGTGATGGTGAATGATCACAAGACAGACATTCTATGTAGCCACTTCACAGACAAATTATTTGTGGTTGTCACACAATTCAACAAGCTAGGCAACTTGGTATGTATAGACATATATTACTTAAAACATCGAGTCTAAATATTATTGTAAAACGTTTGTATAGCACCCAATTTTACCATGTAATTTACATAAAAGTGCTCCTATATGTGGGTGGATAATATGTGCACATGTGTTGGAGGTGTAGGTGGCCTTGTACATGTATTTCTATCAGCACATTACAGCTAAGAAATCATAACACCCAGCCCTGACTGGGATTATATACACACATTGTATTTATGTTTTGATTCTGAGCATGCAGAATCTCCCCCATAGAAATTTTTAAAAAAGGTGGCAAGTATGTGGTATGAGGTGTAGGGTAGAAATTTCTTACATTCCTTTCTTCATACCCTGGACGGTTCTGTCATATATACAAAAGGAATGAGGAAAACCTGTTTCCTTTGTTACTTTGTCAGATTGAACTGAAACGTGATGTTGTTGTTGATGACGCCATTACCACTTCAAGACCTTCCTATTCTACCAAGGTACTGATGGGACGTGACGAGGTATGTTCTTAATCACTGTACCCTGTTAATATAGAATGGTTTGTCCCTATAATCACCATACCCTGTAAATATAGAATGCTTTGTCCCTATAATCACTGTCCCCTGTAAATATAGAATGGTTTGTCCCTATAATCACCATACACTGTAAATATAGAATGGTTTGTCCCTATAATCACCGTACCCTATAAATATAGAATGGTTTGTCCCTATAACCACTGTACCCTGTAACTATAGAATGGTTTGTCCCTATAATCACTGTACCCTGAAAATATAGAATGCTTTGTCCCTATAATCACTGTACCCTGTAAATATAGATTGGTTTGTCCCTATAACCACTGTACCCTGTAACTATAGAATGGTTTGTCCCTATAATCACTGTACCCTGTAAATATAGAATGGATTGTCCCTATAACCACTGTACCCTGTAAATATAGAATGGATTGTCCCTATAACCACTGTACCCTGTAAATATAAAATGGTTTGTCCCTATAATCACTGTACCCTGAAAATATAGAATGCTTTGTCCCTATAATCACTACCCTGTCAATATAGAATGGTTTGTCCCTATAACCACTGTACCCTGTAAATATAAAATGGTTTGTCCCTATAATCACTGTACCCTGTAAATATAGAAGGGTTTGTCCCTATAACCACTGTACCCTGTACATATAGAATGCTTTGTCCCTATAATCACTGTACGCTGTAAATATAGAATGGTTTGTCCCTATAATCACCATACACTGTAAATATAGAATGGTTTGTCCCTATAATCACCGTACCCTATAAATATAGAATGGTTTGTCCCTATAATCACCGTACCCTATAAATATAGAATGGTTTGTCCCTATAATCACCGTACCCTATAAATATAGAATGGTTTGTCCCTATAATCACCGTACCCTATAAATATAGAATGGTTTGTCCCTATAATCACCATCCCCTGTAAATATAGAATGGTTTGTCCCTATAATCACCGTACACTGTAAATATAGAATGCTTTGTCCCTATAATCACTACCCTGTCAATATAGAATGGTTTGTCCCTATAACCACTGTACCCTGTACATATAGAATGCTTTGTCCCTATAATCACTGTACGCTGTAAATATAGAATGGTTTGTCCCTATAATCACCGTACCCTATAAATATAGAATGGCTTGTCCCTATAATCACCGTACCCTGTAAATATAGAATGCTTTGTCCCTTTAATCATCGTACCCTGTAAATATAGAATGCTTTGTCCCTATAATCACTGTACGCTGTAAATATAGAATGGGTTGTCCCTATAATCACTGTCCCCTGTAAATATAGAATGCTTTGTCCCTATAATCACCGTCCCCTGTAAATATAGAATGCTTTGTCCCTTTAATCATCGTACCCTGTAAATATAGAATGGTTTGTCCCTATAACCACTGTACCCTGTAGATATAGAATGTGTTGACTCTATAATTACTTTTTTTGTGAATTTGTCCTTTCTACTTGGGTAAGAAAAGTATAAAAATTGAACTGAAATTGAACATTTCCTCACATGCGGTGGTCGGGTGGTGCAGTGGATAGTGCACTTGCCTTTCACCAAGGCGGCCAGGGTTCGATTTACCGATCGGACGTGAAGAGGTATTGGGTCACCTGCCTGACCACGTTGGGTTTTCTCTGGGTACTCTGGTTTCCTCCCACTCAAAGACCCCTCACGCGCTAATATCCGGGCCAACAAGAGTGAACAATATAAGCTGAAATAACTTAAATAATGACAGTTGATACAAGCGTATCATGTATGTTTTTATGGCTTTTAGCATGACAAAAAATAGTGTTCTGAATTATAAGCCCTAGTAATGTTCTCTAGTAACGATCTGAATTAGAAGCCCTAGTAATGTTCTGAATTATAAGCCCTAGTAATGTTCTGAATTATAAGCCCTCGTAATGTTATGAATTATAAGCCCTAGTAACGTTCTGAATTATAAACCCTAGTAATGTTCTGAATTATAAGCCCTAGTAACGTTCAGAATTATAAGCCCTGGTAATGTTCTGAATTATAAACCCTAGTAATGTTCTGAATTATAAGCCCTAGTAATGTTCTCTAGTAACGATCTGAATTATAAGCCCTAGTAATGTTCTGAATTATTGGCTCTGGTAATGTTCTGAATTATAAGCCCTAGTAATGTTCTCTAGTAACGATCTGAATTATAAGCCCTAGTAATGTTCTGAATTATTGGCTCTGGTAATGTTCTGAATTATAAGCCCTAGTAACGTTCTGAATTATAAGCCCTGGTAATGTTATGAATTATAAGCCCTGGTAATGTTCTGAATTATAAGCCCTAGTAACGTTCAGAATTATAAGCCCTGGTAATGTTCTGAATTATAAACCCTAGTAATGTTCTGAATTATAAGCCCTAGTAACGTTCAGAATTATAAGCCCTGGTAATGTTCTGAATTATAAACCCTAGTAATGTTCTGAATAATAAGCCCTAGTAACGTTCTGAATTATAAGCCCTAGTAACGTTCTAAATTATAAGCCCTAGTAATGTTCTGAATTATAGGCCCTGGTAATGTTCTGAATTATAAGCCCTAGTAATGTTCTAAATTATAAGCCCTAGTAATGTTCTGAATTATTGGCTCTGGTAATGTTCTGAATTATAAGCCCTAGTAATGTTCTAAATTATAAGCCCTAGTAACGTTCTGAATTATAAGCCCTAGTAACGTTCTAAATTATAAGCCCTAGTAATGTTCTGAATTATAAGCCCTCGTAATGTTATGAATTATAAGCCCTAGTAACGTTCTGAATTATAAACCCTAGTAATGTTCTGAATTATAAACCCTAGTAATGTTCTGAATTATAAGCCCTAGTAATGTTCTAAATTATAAGCCCTAGTAATGTTCTGAATTATAAGCCCTAGTAACGTTCAGAATTATAAGCCCTGGTAATGTTCTGAATTATAAGCCCTAGTAACGTTCTGAATTATAAGCCCTAGTAATGTTCTGAATTATAGGCCCTAGTAATGTTCTGAATTATAAGCCCTAGTAATGTTCTAAATTATAAGCCCTAGTAACGTTCTGAATTATAAGCCCTGGTAATCTTCTGAATTATAAGCCCTAGTAATGTTCTGAATTATAAGCCCTCGTAATGTTATGAATTATAAGCCCTAGTAACGTTCTGAATTATAAACCCTAGTAATGTTCTGAATTATAAGCCCTAGTAATGTTCTGAATTATAGGCCCTAGTAATGTTCTGAATTATAAGCCCTACCTTATTAACATGCTACCTCTTTTTTCCTGCTCATTCTATTGTTTATCAGGAAGGCGTTACTTGATACCCTGTTTGTTCTGTGTTACAGCCCTTGATGCATGTACTGGCTAAGAATGTGATGGGTAAGCTAGACATAAAGAAACCAGTAGTGTTAGCACTGGCCCTGAAGGATGAGTCTCCTAAATCTGTGGCCCAACTGAGTGAGGCAGTCAAGGGTATGATGTAAGCACAGGAAATAGGCCGGGGTCCAACTGAATGAAAGATCAAGATGAGGGATCGACTGAGTGAGGCGATCAAAGCAACAATAGAGTCCCAAAATATTGGCTGTTGTCCTGCTGAAGGAGATGCATGGTCATGTGAAAGTTCTGTTATTTGACTGATCAAGAGGAGGATTAAATCAGAGAGAGAAAGAGTTTGGTTCCACTGAGTGAGGCAATCAAAAGGATGATGTACAGTAAGTCCTCAGGACCAATAGAAATATTCGACTTATTGGATGGTTTGACTCTTCCATTTTGTGTTGGAGCACTCGAATGACCCCAGATGTTTTCCGTTAACTGTTAGAGTATCGTACAGTGTTCGAGACACCCTTACTAAATTTACTAATATAAGAAGGGGAAAACATTCAAGTCATCTGAAGTATTAGATTTAAGCATGTTCAACACAATCAAGTTTTACTGCAGTTGAAGGAACAGGGTCTCTGCAGTCATACAGAGTCGGCCTGTCCAGGGGGTGATGGACATCGTAGCCATAGAGACAAGGTCTTTATCATGGAGCTTCCTTGGCTAGGACCTGCCAAAGGTTTACACAGAATACCTCAGTGGTGGTTCAGTCCTGCTGCGCTATAGCTGGACTCTAGAGAACGTGATACTGCATGTGATGAGGAAGAAGACTCCTTTTTAAAGGGATATATCATTGTAGGCAAGGTTAGTGATCAAAGACACTTTGCAGATTGTTCATAATCCTCCCCATAGATCTATGAAAAAATGATCTGTTTTTTTTGTGAAATTCATATAAAAGAAATTGAAAAGATGAAAATTTTGTTGAGTTTTCTTTTATTATGTTGAAAAAAGAAGTTTAAATGTAATAATAAAACATAACATAAAACATAAAGTGCCTTATGAAGTTAACCATCAATATGATACCCTCGTTTCATTTGCCACCTCATGATCAAATACTGCCAACAAATACTTAACACAGAATGTCCACATAACAACACCTCCTACAGTCCATGGTCTGCCTTTACTTCACACAGAATGTCCACAAAACAACACATCCCACAGTCCATGGTCTGCCTTTACTTAACACAGAATGTCCACATGACAACACCTCCTACAGTCCATGGTCTGCCTTTACTTCACATACAGTGTCAACATGACAACACCTCCCACAGTCCATGGTCTGCCTTTACTTCACATACTGTGTCCACATGACAACACCCCCCACAGTCCATGGTCTGCCTTTACTTAACACAGAATGTCCACAAAACAACCCCTCCTACAGTCCATGGTCTGTCTTTACTTCACATACTGTGTCCACATGACAACATCTCCCACAGTCCATGGTTTGCCTTTACTTCACATACTGTGTCCACATGACAACCCCTCCCACAGTCCATGGTCTGCCTTTACTTCCCATATAATGTCCTCATGACAACACCTCCCACAGGCCATGGTCTGCCTTTACTTCCCATACAATCTCCTCATGACAACACCTCCCACAGTCCATGGTCTGCCTTTACTTAACACACAATGTCCACATGACAACACCTCCTACAGTCTATGGTCGGCCTTTACTTCACATACAGTGTCAACATGACAACACCTCCCACAGTCCATGGTCTGCTTTTACTTCACACAGAATGTCCACATAACAACACCTCCTACAGTCCATGGTCTGCCTTTACTTCACATACAGTGTTCAAATGACAACACCTCCCACAATCCATGGTCTGCCTTTACTTAACACAGAATGTCCACATGACAACCCCTCCTACAGTCCATGGTCTGCCTTTACTTCACATACAATGTCCACATGACAACACTTCCCACAGTCCATGGTCTGCCTTTACTTCACATACTGTGTCCACATGACAACATCTCCCACAGTCCATGGTTTGCCTTTACTTCACATACTGTGTCCACATGACAACACCTCCACAGTCCATGGTCTGCCTTTACTTCACATACAGTGTTCAATTGACAACACCTCCCACAATCCATGGTCTGCCTTTACTTAACACAGAATGTCCACATGACAACACCTCCTACAGTCCATGGTCTGCCTTTACTTCACATACAATGTCCTCATGACAACACTTCCCACAGTCCATGGTCTGCCTATACTTCACATACAGTGTCCACATAACAACACCTCCCACAGACCATGGTCTGCCTTTACTTCACACAGAATGTCCACATAACAACACCTCCTACAGTCCATGGTCTGCCTTTACTTCACATACAGTGTTCAAATGACAACACCTCCCACAATCCATGGTCTGCCTTTACTTAACACAGAATGTCCACAAAACAACCCCTCCTACAGTCCATGGTCTGTCTTTACTTCACATACTGTGCCCACATGACAACACCTCCCACAGTCCATGGTCTGTCTTTACTTCACATACTGTGCCCACATGACAACACCTCCCACAGTCCATGGTCTGTCTTTACTTCACATACAATGTCCACATAACAACACCTCCCTCAGTCCATAGTCTGCTTTTACTTCACGAACAGTGTCTGCATAACAATATCCCCCACAATCCATGGCCTGCCTTACACAAACAGTCCACATAACAATATCCCCCACAGTTCATGGTCTGCCTTACACAATCAGTCCACATAACAATATCCCCCACAGTTCATGGTCTGCCTTACACAAACAGTACACATAACAACAACACCTAGTTTCAAATAGATTAATAACAACACCTCCCACAGTCCATGGTCTGCCTTTACTTAACACACAATGTCCACATGACAACACCTCCTACAGTCTATGGTCGGCCTTTACTTCACATACAGTGTCAACATGACAACACCTCCCACAGTCCATGGTCTGCTTTTACTTCACACAGAATGTCCACATAACAACACCTCCCACAGTCCATAGTCTGCTTTTACTTCACGAACAGTGTCTGCATAACAATATCCCCCACAATCCATGGCCTGCCTTACACAAACAGTCCACATAACAATATCCCCCACAGTTCATGGTCTGCATTACACAAACAGTCCACATAACAATATCCCCCACAGTTCATGGTCTGCCTTACACAAACAGTCCACATAACAACAACACCTAGTTTCAAATAGATTAGGACTCGTGAAAATCGCTGTTTGAAAGTATACTTGGCAGATATTTCCTGATGCAGAGTCATTCAAGGAGGGCCATGCAGGTTGTTTCCGAATCTGAGGTGGCACCCAACACTTCAACAAGGAGGACTTATTTCACTTCGCAATATAGTATTTAGTGATTGCTGCTGTGGTGTTGGAACCTAGTATTAGTATTAGTGCATGACGTTCGCTTTCGTTGCGGAAATATACTACTCACATTTTGCTAAGGATTACCTATATTTTGAGAGAGAAAAAATCAAAATTTTAGAAAGGATATTATATTTTCCTTCCTTACTGTTTTGGGCGAGTATGTTAGCCTTCCAAATCGTCCTTTGTGGGTGTGTTCAGTCAACCATAAAAGCTCGTGCACGCTTTTCCACGTGTACACCCCTTTCAAAAGCTAAGCTAGGCTCAGTAAGGCGTTGTTTAAGAATTTGATGAATATTCTTTGTGTGTTTTTGTTTTAATATGGCAAAAAGACGAACCAGAAAACAGTTAAATGACGGTGAAATGAATAGGGGCATCGGAATGCTGCAAACTATCATGTCTCAACGTCAGGTTGCAGCAGACATTGGGGTGTCTCAAAGTGTGGTGGCAAGAATGTGGAATCGTTTCCAAACTAGCGGAAACCCTTCCAGACGTCATGTTGGTGGTCGTTCTAGGGCTACAACGCAGCGCCAAGACCGATTTTTGCTTATACAGGCACGGCGTCACAGGTTCCAGACTGCCACAGCTTTTCGAACTGGCCTCCTTAATGCTTCTGGTACTCGGGTAGCTACTCAGATAGTTAGGAACCGTCTTCGTGAAGCTGGTTTAAGGTCACGTAGACCAGCAATACAAGTTCCCTTAACTGCCCGCCATGTTAGGGACCGATTAGATTGGGCCTAAGCTCACAGCACTTGGACTCTTCAGGAATGGGAACCGGTTCTTTTTACTGACGAGTCCAGATTCTGTTTCGACTTTACCGACAGGTGCGTTAGAGTATGGTGACAACCTGGTGTTCCAGGTAACATTGTGGAACATGACCGATATGGCGGAGGTTCAGTAATGTAGTGGGGAGGCATAAACCTTCGTGGGAAAACTGACTTTAATGTCTTCCATAGTTGTACCGTTACGGCCCAGATTTACTGCGATGAAATCGTTGATGTCTATGTCAAACCCTACGTTGGCGCTATCGATCCTGACTTCATTCTTATGGACGATAATGCTAGGTCACATAGAGCAAGGGTGACTGAACAGTATCTACAGCAAGAGACTATTCAACAAATGGATTTGCCAGCCCTCTCGCCGGATCTTAATCACATCGAGCATGTGTGGGACATGTTGCAGACAGCTCTCTCTCTCTCTCTCTCTCTCTCTCTGCCAGAAATGTTCAGTCAAGAACGCTCCAGGAGCTTGGAATAGCTTTGGTAGGTGAGTGGAACTTTATCCCACAAAACCGGGTACGCGATCTCATTCGGGGCATGCGCAAACGTTGTGAAGCTGTAATTGATGCTCATGGGCGTCGAACTCGATACTAAAACAGTTTCTGTTTATTTAGGATGAGTTTTGTTCAATTTAAGTTTGTTATTGAATACCTCGTTGTTACCAATTTTATGGGTAACCCTTTTTCTGTGGCTCATTTTCCGGGCGTATAGTGTTCCTCCCTGTGGACCTATTGTAAGTCTTTTTTCACAGAGAGGGAAATATTTTTGTAATTATTAGTACTTTCTACTGCTCTGAGCCCGTCAGCTTTAAGTTAGTACTGTTTCAGAAGCACGTGTCCAATAGCTGTTTGTGATGTTCGTACTTCATCGTACTACATTAGACTCTCCGGACTACTAGGATAGTTTCTAGAACCATATGGGGTGTACATTTTAGAGGTGGTTCTATTTGGCACAGTATGGAATTACTGTAAGATATGGTACTTCGTGGTGCTGTATTACCTGTCGTATTAGTATATGTTTCTGTCTGTCTTTTTAGTATATGGAACTGGAAGTGTTTTAGATGATATAAGGTGCTTTTTATGTTTCTGTCTGTCGTATTAGTATATGGAACTGGAAGTGTTTTAGATGATATCAGGTGCTTGTTTATGTTTCTGTCTGTCGTATTAGTATATGGAACAGGAAGTGTTTTAGATGATATCAGGTGATTTTTATGTTTCTGTCTGTCGTATTAGTATATGGAACTTGAAGGGTTTTAGATGATATCAGGTGCTTTTTATGTTTCTGTCTGTCTTATTAGTATATATGGAACTTGAAGTGTTTTAGATGATATCAGGTGCTTTTTATGTTTCTGTCTGTCTTGTTAGTATATATGGAACTTGAAGTGGTTTAGATGATATCAGGTGCTTGTTTATGTTTCTGTCTGTCGTATTAGTATATGGAACCTGAAGTGTTTTAGATGATATCAGGTGCTTTTTATGTTTCTGTCTGTCGTATTAGTACTTGGAACTTGAAGTGTTTTAGATGATATCAGGTTCTTTTAATGTTTCTGTCTGTCGTATTAGTATATGGAACTGGAAGTGTTTTAGATGATATCAGGTGCTTTTTATGTTTCTGTCTGTCGTATTAGTATATGGAACAGGAAGTGTTTTAGATGATATCAGGTGCTTTTTGTGTTTCTGTCTGTCGTATTAGTATATGGAACTGGAAGTGTTTTAGATGATATCAGGTGCTTGTTTATATTTCTGTCTGTCGTAATAGTACTTGG